TTAAAAATGTTTTCAATTTTTTAATAATTCAAATTTTATCATTTTATATCTTGTGATATATATTTATTTTTTTAATTTTTTGTTTTTTAATATATATATATATATATATTTAATTTTTAGTATTTTTATATGTTACTATTTTTTATTTTTTTGAATATTTGAATTTTTTATATTTTAAATTTTAAATTTGAAATAATTTTATTTTTTTAAATAAGTCCTGAACTTTAAAATAATCAATTTGATCTCAAACAAGATAAAAAAAATTAATTTGTCACGTCATCAGCCACTATGAACCACATCAGCATCTTGAACCGTCACATCAGATCAACGAAGGAAAATGTCGGTCGAAAGATCACATTGGGTTTGTTTTCAGAGTTTGAGGGTCACATTGTGTGAAAAATTAATTCGATGGCCACATTGATTTTTTTTCAAAAGTACAAGGGCCTTAGATGACTTTTTGCCTTTTCTTCTCTTTTCTTTTTACCAACAGTTTTTACTTTCCAAACAATAATTTTTCTTCTATCAGCTAACAGAGATATTCTTTTTATACTTTTCATGAATTTGGTCATATATACTCGAATATTGTCTTTTATGTTTTTTTTTATCAAAAAATTATTCAGAGGATTGTAAATAGAGTTTTTGAACTCAAGAACCCAAATTATAAGGATAATAATATAGTCAGAGGAAGATTGTAACAAGGCTAGAGGGTCCAACATCTCAAAAAAAAATTAATTTCCTTCCATTTTTAAAATTTTAATTAAATTTTAATTTTTTATTTCCTCGATTAAATCTCAATATTTTATTTTTTTTAAAAAACTAATTGATCGATTCCTTCAAATAGACAAGCTAAGATCGACCTTTATATATAGGAAAATTCTAGAATGGATGTCAAATATTGATATTCACCATTAATTTTATAATATAAAATTTACAAATGGACATTAAACTATATCAAATTGATCATTTTAGGCATCAAACTTTCAAAAGTTATATAATAGATATTAAACTTTTGATATTTTTACAAAATGGACACAACACAATTATCTATCATTAAAGAGATGATGTGACATACTAAATTAATATAAAATATCTCATTTGACAATTTAACTATAACAAAAATTTCTTTTACTATTAATTTTAACTAAAATTCTAAATTTTATAATTTGTTTTTGAAATTATAACTTAAAAATATCAAATAATATATCAAAATAAAATTTTAGTTATAATTAAAGGGCCAAATGAGATATTTCCTATTAATATATAGCATGTCATGTCACTGCATTAACAATATTTCACAATCGCTGCCTATTTTTAAATAAGAGTAATCTATGTCAAATACCACTCATCTTTATGCTCGGAATTGAAAATGTCACTGACGTTTTCGATTTTGCCAATTTTAGCACTGACATTTATGTTTCACTTCAATTTTGCCACTCCGTCGTTAATCCGTTAACGGCACGATGACATGGCATGGACGGGTCGTGACGGTGATGATGTGGACGGCTTTTTTAAAGTTATTTAGTCCACGTAGCATCTGTATTACCTGAGAAAAGTTGGAGATTCGCTACCACAAAACTCTCATTTCTTCACCACCACAAAACTCTCCCTCACTCTGCCGTCCATTGTGTACGGTATCATCCGTTGCAAGAAGCTCGACAACCTCGTTGGCGATTCGCTCTCTGAAGACGAAAATCTTATAGCGTACCTTCTTATCTTCTTAATTTTCTTTGGTTTCTTCTTGCTTTGCCTCGTACGCTTTGTTTCCAGTATAATTTTTTAGTTGGTGTTGAACATCTCTGAGGGGGAATCAGTGGAGAAGCTCCTCAAAGATGAAACAAGGGTTTTCGTTTCTCTGTCGTTAATACCATAGTCTTCAAAGCTTCCACTGGTAAAGAATCCGCTCTCGGCAGACGAGGTGCTCATCCGGTTTTTCGGCATCGTTTTCCTTTTTCTGCATCGTTGTTTTTTCTTTACCGTGTTGGGAGGCACTGGAGGTGGAGTTAAATCATCATAGTTTTCAAAGGTATTGTAGAATTTGCGACGGGGCATTTGTTATCTTCGTAAACTTTCGCTATAACGTGACATATGTCTTTTTTTCCAGTGGAACTCCAATGTCGACGGCTATGATGATTCAATACGGCCACTCCAGTGGAAAGTACCTAAGTAACAACGAAGACCATCGGATCTGCCATGACTAAAGAGATCGGCGGCGAAAACAGCGTAACCCCAAGTGAAAAAACTTAGGCAAATCTTCTGAAAGAGCCAGCCGGTGTCAGAGCAATAGCCGTGGGTCATGTAGACGGAGGTTTGATGAGTTGAATGAGAAAAATGTTGTCTTGTGGAATGCAATGCTCGGAGGTTTGGTGCAAAATGGGTGCGCATACACCGATGAGGTCCTCGTGTTGTTTTCTCAGATGAATCGATCTGATTCTCACCCTGATGAGTTCACCTATACAAGTATCTTGAGTTCATGTGCTACCTTAGGATGTCTGGAAATAGGTCGCCAATTTCATGGGTTTATTATAAAGAACAAATTTGCATCAAATTTGTTTGTGGCAAATGCATTGGTTGATATGTATGCAAAATCTGGTGCTTTAGAGGATGCAAGGAAGCAATTTGAGATCATAAAAGATAGAGATAACGTTTCTTGGAATACAATTATTGTTGGATACATGCAAGATTAGAATTAGCTTGAGGCTTTTAGAATGTTTCGAAGAATGATTTTATATGGGATTGTTCCCGATGAAGTTTCCTTGACTGGTATACTCAGTGCTTGTACAAATGTTCAGAGTCTTGAGGAAGGGAAGCAAGTCCATTTTCTTGCAGTCAAATCTAGTTTAGATAAGAGCCTCTATGCAATAAGTTCCCTTATTGACATGTATGCCAAATCTGGGGCCATTGGGGATGCAGACAAAGTCCTTTATGATATGCCTCAATGGAGCGTGGTCTCCATGAACTCTATGATTGTTGGATATGAACCAAATGATTTAGATCGAGCAGTTATCCTACTAAAAGATATGCAGGTGGATGGATTGAAACCATCTGAAGTAACATACACTAGCCTTTTAGATGCCTGTAATGAACCTCATAAGTTGAACGTCGGAAGGAAAATCCACTATCTTTTAGATGCCTCAATGTATGCCAATTCTTGGGGGTTTCTCTCCTGTGCATGTACCTGAACTCCCTTAGAGATACAGATGCAGGAAATCTGTTTGAAGAGTTCAAAAACCGGGAAAGTGCCGTTGTATGGACTGCTTTAATTTCAGGTCATACGCAAAATGACTGCAATGAGGAGGCCTTACGCTTCTTCCGAGATATGCGTAGCTGCAATGTATTGCCCGGCCAAGCTACATTTGTTAGTGTCCTTAGAGCATTTGCTGTTTTATCTTCTTTGCAAGTAGGCAGACAGATCCATGCACTAGTTTATAATACCGATTATGTTTCAGACGAGTTAACAACTAGTGCCCTTGTAGATATGAATGCTAAATGCGGTGAAGTAAAATGTTCTGTGCAAGTTTTCAATGAAATGAATAGCAAGAACGGTATTAGTTGCTGGAACTCGATGATATTCGGGTTTGCCAAAAACAGTTATGCTGAAGATGCATTGAAAATATTTTTTGAGATGAAGCAAACACATGGAATGCCTGATGAAGCAACAATTTTATTTGGGGTTCAAACATTGTTAATTGGAGTTTTAAAATTTTAAAACTTTTATAGAAATTATAACAAAAAAAATATAATGTAGTTGAATGGTTAAGTATTCAATTTAATTTTAAGGGGTTTGGGGTTCAAATCCCTTTAGTTGCATAATATTTCAATAATTTTTTCAAGCAAAACGACGTCGTTTTGCTTGAATCAAAAATAGTTGTGTTGAAACGACGTTGTTTTTGTAAGGCATCCATGTCATCACCGTCACGGCCCGTCCATGCCACGTCATCGTGTCGTTAACGGATTAACAACGGAGTGGCAAAATTGAAGTGAAACATAAACGTCAGTGCTAAAATTGGCAAAATTAAAACGTCAGTGGTATTTTCGATCCCGAGCATAAAGATGAGTGGTATTTGACATAGATTACCCTTTAAATAAAATTCAAAGTTTGATGTCTATTTTATAACTTTTAAAAATCCATTGACAAATTAAATCATTTTAATAATTTTAATGACCATTTATAAATTTTACTATATTTTTATATTAGTAATGCATATCGTGCACATCATTAGTAATATACATCGACGTATGTCACTCACTCTAAATTATTTATTAGGTGAGAAGTTAATAAAACACCAAATAAGAAAATAACATCAACAAAAGATCGCTTGCTAAGTAATCTAAATAAAAGGCAATCTAATAAGTAAACTTTATTTTTTTAAATAGCATTCAAAATAAATTACTGCATTCAAAATAAATTACTATATTCAAGATTGAGAGAAATTGATTCCCTTAATCCTTTAATATAATAACATTTTAAATCTCAGTTGAAATAATAATTAATTAAAATTTATCTCTCAAATATTAAATTTAAATACTAAATAAATCTTAGATAATTTGTTCTTTTTGAATTAATCACTGATACATGATCTATCGACTATGGACAAACCTTCATGGAATCAAGAGGAGCCTTGATTCTCGTCATTTTTTTAAAAATATTAATTAATTAATATATATATATATAAATAAAGAAAAATCTACCAAGCCCCTCAATTAAAAAAATATTTATGGAAAATAGAAAATAATTAAATCTCCGCTTTAATAAATTTTTAATTTTGCCCATGCTACTAACCTATCCAAATCAAATTTTACAGAGACACACTATGGAGATGACCATCTTAATCCAATTTACTCCATTTGCAAACGTCAAAATTCAAACCTCTAACCTTGCTTTAAGAATCTAGTAATTCATCTCACTAATATTATTAATAAGAAATAATGAAATAAATGATGATTTACCCCAAGAAATAAGACACTAAAACAAGAATCATAATGTACATTGTCTTTTTTAATAGAGTTAAAGAGGTGGTTTAGTGCAATTTTGCAAGTATAACCAAGTCTAATATCTTGACATCAAGACTGTCATCTATCCTAACAATGCCATCCGTGCCATCCACGCCAATTAGCTTACCGGTAGCACCGCGAAGTGAGCCACCCATGATTTTGATCTTGTCCGATTTCCTTGGTGGCACTATCTCCATCTCACTTGGCATTGCGATTACACTATCACCACTTTCATGTGACCCCAAGGCTACCTTACATGGCCCATCCTGCATCATCATCCATCAATCCATATTATAAAAATAATATTCAATAACGGATAGCCATGCTTATAATCCCAACTCAGATGAATATTAGATACAACTATATGATAACTCGACTTGGATAACAATCACGGATGAACCGAAAGGAAAACAAGTGAGGCCAATCGCCCCCTTAAAAATTTCAAATTCTTAGATATTTACTTTGTATTTTTTATTGATAATATGTTTTTGCCTCCTACAATTTTTATAAGTAACCCTATCCTAAAATATTTTAAGTTAGCCTCCCAAACATAAAATCTTGCTTTTATCCCTAGACCGAAGGGCGGTGGCTGGGAGCATCACTCCCCATGAATATTTCTAATTATCATATATTTTAGATATTTTAATTGTATTTCTATTAATAATCGTCCCCTAAAATTTTATAAGTTCGTTCCCTCCTAAAATTTTATAAGTTCGCCTCCACATAAAATTTTGCGTCGGTTGTGTTCCATCCATGGTTTGAGGTTTCAACAAGAACTTTGTCCAATCAAGAAGAAAAAATGATCACCAAATTGAAATAAGACATACCGGAAACACCTCTTGGATGATTCCAAGAGTCTCGTCTCCAGATTTACGAACGTTGACCAAAATATCTGGCATGAACCATGGTCCTTCAGTGTCAGCACCTGCAGATAGGTGGATGTTAATTTGGATTTAGGGTAATTATAGTTCACCTTTTCTTTTATTTTCTTACACATGTAGAACCGTAAAGAAGATGATAACTCCAGATAAAAATCCCTACAGAAGTACCCGGGACCTAGTTTATTCAGTAAAAACTATTCAAAAATGCAATAATGGATCCAAAATTCTTAACAGAAACAATTAAAAAAATCCTCCAAGATAAGCTCATCAGCAATTGGAACCAATGTCTTTAATATAAGATTAATAAATGGATCTTATGAGAATTTAAATTCCTTAAATTATCTGCTAGCCAGTTTGAATGAAGATAGTTCACTTCTCTGAAAATGAAGAACCGAATAGAAATAGCACCTATTACTGGAGACATCATATCAAGACCAGTTCCTGGTGTCATTGGCTGCCCTCCAGGTGTACCCGGAATATAGGATCCCGAGCTTGGTGTCATTGGTTGCCCACTTGGTGTTGATGGCATATAAGGACTTGGAGCGTTGGCTGCACCAAACATAGAAATGAGTCGTACCAAAAAAAACACAAACATTCAAATAGGAAAAAACGGATAAAACAGTACCATAAGCTGAACTGCTATCTCTTGGTGTTCCAGTCTCGGTGTAATTACCGCCAGGAGTACCAGCCCAACCAGAACCAGGAGTAGGTGCTTCATATGCCCTTGAAGGACTTCCTGGCTGAAAGGAACATCGTTCCAGTTACTTTACATATCTGAATAAATATAATAAGAAGAAACATAGCTATTTCGCAGATAGCACTTAATTCTGCAAGAATCCTAACCTGATACTGAGGACTGGTTCCCCAAGAGGCAGGGTTTCCTTCTTCCCAATTATCCCTAATTTGCAGTCATCATAACAAAACAATGAATCAAATAACAGCATGAAAGTAAATCATTAATTTGGGATTCTCCAGATGACTGGAATCTACTCAGAGACATGGGTGGACTCATCGGTGCATAAGGATTCCAGGCCCTGTCACGCATAGGTGTTCTCATGCCATCATGGATTGGTGTTGCTGCAGATGACATAAAAGTAACTATATTATTATTATTATCAGTAACTTACTAAATAACATCGTCAATTAAAAGGTAAGTATCCAAAATAAAAGCATAAGAAAAATGCAATAAAAAATACCTCCAGGATCCCTCATAGGAGTCATGTATGGATGTAAAGGAGTTCGTGAAGGGTGCATAGGTGTTTCACTTCCCATACCATACCGGGATGTATCACTGGTGAAACAAAATAAAACATATAATGTCAGAGAGATATAGCAACATGTTTTTCATAGTCCGATAAAAACCAAGGAATTTTGAAGAAACCAAATTTACCGGTAGGGTGTTGAAATAACCACATTATCAGATATAAAATTGCAATCGACTGCAGACAGGAAACAAGTTCTATAAGCCATATATACCAAACTGAAGGAGAGAACATTTTAAACATTAATCTGGACTTGCCTGTAACGACTTTCATTTGAGACTCTAACTCAACTCGAACTGATTGACCTTTAATATCTACGACACGTCCACGGTAACCCTTATAAGGACCCTGGCGAATTTTCACAGTAGTACCAACCAAAGCATCATGGCCTCGTCTTCCACCTCTGTGCCTACCTCCGGCTGTTTGAAAGAGGCAAAAGTTAATAGACCCCAAGAAAATAACAATTCAAAGAAATTCGATAACCATAAAATTTTGATAAACAAGGATAGTAAGACAGTCAGCAACATACAATCGAATGGAGGACCTCCTCCCCTAGAAAATCTCCTCGGTGAAGGTGGTACACGGGGTTGAGCCTTGAAGCCACCAAATCTTGACAAAGAACCACCCTAAAATATTGAATCAAATATGCTACAATGAGAATGGTTCGAGTTATACATGAAATAACAATGAAAAGAACAGCAGAAAAGGCTTACATTTCTGTCACCATTAGAACGTGATCCTCCCACTAAACAACAAGAATCGGCTTTAGCACATATAAAGCCAGCATGCTCAAGGTGATGTCGATCATACACGAACAATACTCCTTTATATATGTGCTCTACAGGGCCTTGTTTCCCCTGATATGATACAGGAAAACAGTTTGTAAACTAAAAATACGTAAAATAACTAATAGGATAAATCAAATTCGAAAAATCTTACTTTGCAAGGTCCTTCAAGGATCCTAACCACATCTTTCACAGAAACAGTATTCCTGTATTTGTCTTGCACATTAAATTTCTTCTCAAGCTTGCATTTGATTTCCCTTAATTTTACAAGAGAAACCTCTGGTCTTTCTGGGACACCCTTAAGAACCTAAAAGAAAAATGTACAACACTAAGGGCATATTCTAAAAAGGAGCACTCAATACCATGTCATTCAAAAGTGGTTTATATACCTGAAATGCTTCACTTTCTACACGTATAATTACACCAAAGCTATTGTTACTGCAACAAAAGAATGAATGTGTCAGACTCGCAAATTTATTTAAAAGACTGAATAAAATATTTCAGCAAGAAGCTACTTACTCTAGTAGCACAAGGTCATGAAGCTCATACTCTCCAATTTTTGTAATACCAGTAGTTACTTCAGAGCTCTCAATAACATCATCAGCAAAAACACGGATCTAATAAAACAAAATGCCAATTATTTTTCAACTATGATAATCCTGAGATCAAAACCAGACTCAAAAGGATACTTCACTCGCATGTTCTTTGGTTGTATCAGATAAAATGATGAGCACATGTTGCTCAACCTTGACAACCATGCCAGTTGCACCTTCCTTTGTCCCAGACACAACCTTCACGTGATTCCCAGGCTCAAAGTACTTGCACAGCTCTTTCTCATTAACAGCAAGAGTTTTCTGCAAAAGATCATCAAAAGCTAAGAATGTCCTGGCATTTGGCAATACTGAACTTGCAAGCACACCAGCAATCAAAATATTAGTTCAAAGAAAACAAATAGTGACTGAATTCTTACTGGAAGGCCTTTCATTTCTGGTCTGATATGGACATTCTCTTCCTCAACCTTTTCAACCCATCCCTTTAAATTTTTTAAATCCCCCTTGACAACAATAACTGCGTCACCCTTCATGAAGTGGCCTTTCTTCCTGTTTGAGAACAAAGTTGACAAGCAGACCATTTCACCTCCACTTGTGCTAGGTGTCCGAAACTTTTCGAGTTCATCGAAAGTTGGTTTTATGTTTTGAGCACTAATTGACTTCATAGACACTGTTTTGTACAAGAACCCATCTTTAAATAACATGCCACCAATATTCTCAAAGTAAGCACCAGTAACCGGATCTCGCCTGCGCTCTACACGAATATGGAGTTCCCTACGAAAAAAATTAAGGAATATATGCTAACATGAACCAAATACATGTGTATAAAATTTTACATTAGAGGTTGGAATCATTTGAGACTACCTAACTTCATCAACATTCATAAAACGAGGAGGAGGGACAAAGGCTTTCTTCTGTGCAACTTCTCTTCCTTCCTGAATGAAATAGTAAATGAGTAGATCAAGGACAACAAAACAAGGAAAGAGAACTAAATAGTTAATACCATATCAGTTTACTTCTGTACTAACTGTGCAATTCTTAGATAGACAGCAAAACTTCTATGGCTGAATAAGAATATTAAAATAAAATTCAATTGAAAGGTATTAGCATTCACAGTCTATGAGATAAACACCTTGAGTGAAAGTAATCCATTTCATACCAATTTATTCGCAAGAGCCTGTAAGTCAATCCTAGGAATCAATTTCACAGTGACTCTCTGCCGCACATTATCCACGTCAACTACCTACAAAATGGAAATTAGGATTTAGGAGTCAGACTATAAAAGTTGAAAAAGAACTACTCGCGGAAGCGGCAAGGGCAAAACTCATACTTGAGCAAGATCACCCTTATATGTTCCAATCTTCATTCTGACCCAGGTATCTCTTGAAAGATCAATCGCTTTGCTTTCAACTGATAAAACATCAGTCATTTCTCTAATTGGAACAAGCATTATCTTTGTTGCAAATATATTACGTAGACCTTTGACAGCCTGCAGAAGATCAAAGTTGGTCAACAAATATATGTTTAGATATTTAAAGCTAAGCCAATCGTGAAAAATAAAGCCAAAGCGGCAACAATCGCATACCTGTCGCACATGGGCTTCCTTGTCTGCTTCAACATAAATGTAATTTTTTAGGTGATCAAGAGCAATAACAGACCTGATTTGCATTTCAGTTCCTTTATCAATGAATTTCTGCATGAGGCAAACAGCAGTCTCTCGTTCACGACCAATCTAGCACATAAAGATTACCTTAGTTAAATTCCATGAAACCATTTCTGTCCAACAGCAGAACTCCAAAACTTAAGTTGCACAGAAAAAACATTAGCATACCGCACATTTCACCATCCATAGCTTTGGATCTCTTACTGATGGTAAAAGTGCTTGCTGTTCCACATCAGTTGTCTCCTCATCATAATCTGTGTGACTTGATCTTGCATACCTTGCCTGAATGCTTCTCTCAAGAGCTTCAACATCTTCTTGTTCATCCTCTCTCAGTAATGGGCGACGGTGCATCCTTCTACCGACATCTTCGTCAGGTATATCAGCTCCATTGTCAACCAAGAAATCTGCATTTCCAGTTGTCAAATATATCAGTAATAGCTTGCCATGGAACTATCCCATACAGGTTTACCGTTCATTTAGATGTGCTGATATGAAATGCCTCTCCAGCCAAACCAAGTGGCATTTATCTTTTTGGATAATTGAAAGAAATATTGCTTTAGAAAAGCATTTTTAAAGGCAATGAAATAAAGTTCAATATATAAAAAAGTCCAAACTATACCTTTTTTTCTTATTTAGGTGCCTAATTTTTTTCGGTCAATGTAGGTGTCAACATTTTTTACGTTAATATTTTAAGTGTATGGTCCGTCACAATCGATAAATAAATCTATTAAAAATTAGTCAACTAATCAGTTTTTGACAGGTGGCCTAACTTTTTATTTCCTTCAACTCTAAAAAAATAAAATTAATAAATTTTCGAAAATCCCAACTTGTCTTATTTTTCAGAAAATATCCCAAATTCATAAAACTCCAAAATATCCCTTAATTCCGCCGCCAACCACCATCACCGTCAGTGATCATCCACTCACCCGTCGACTATCACCTGTCGATTAGGATGGATGTGTGTCTTAGAATTTAGGGTTTAGATTTAGGGATTTAGGTTTAGGGATTTTGGGGATTAAGGTTGTAGGTGACAGCCAGCGACAGGTAAGTAGGCAGCCAGCAGGGGCGGCAGCGGCAGGAGACGGCCGACAAGTGGGTTGATGCTTTGGGTTTAAGGATTTTGGGATTTTTTTTTTTTGATATTTTAGAGAATTTTTGGAGTTTTTTCAAAAATAATAAAAATTTTAATTTTTTTAAATAAAATTTTTAAAAATTTATATATGACATCATGTGTTACATTTTTAGTGGTTGACGGCATTTTTTTTAACAGCCGTGATGGACTAGGCACTTAAAATAATAACGTCGAAAACAATAGACATATACATTGAATGGAAATAGGTTTACTAAATGAAAAAGAGATATAGGTTGAGTAATTTTTTTATATTAAGCCAAGAAGAATGATATAAACCATGAGATATGGATGCATGGATTTCACTCATCATTTCTCTACAAGCTTTCGCTACTGCATGAGCTTATAATAACCAATCAACTTTAGGTGAAATTGACATATTTGTTAACCAAAAGATTCTCGAACACAATTTGCTAAAAACTAAGAAGTTCAACAGGGGAGGAAAAATAAAGTAAACCAAGAAATTCAATGGAATAATTTGAATATTCCAAATCAAGAAAAATTCTTAGAATTTGCAGAGGAACTGGTGCTAAGTATCCAACAGAGGTACAATTTACAGCAACAGAACTGCCCACAGAAGCGAATCAAGAATTACAGAAAAATTATTTCTTTTTCAACCTGCCTAGCATACAAATAGGGAAGGAGAAAGAAGGTAAGCTCAGAAATTTCAATTGAATAATTTAAACTCCAAAACGAAGAAAAATTCTAACAATTTTGCAGAGGAGGTGCTAGGTATCCCAACCCATGATTACATGGATATTAGAATGACATACAATCAACTAAAGAGAATACTGTTATTTAAACAAACTTAGAAGGTAAAGAGGCCTTTCAATAGATGTGAAGAGTGATATACAAAATGGATTCCAAAGACATTCAAAGAGAAAAAAGGTTCGAATACTCAATCTAAAATTTAAGCCTTTCGAGACTTCCGGATCTAAAAAAACTGATGCTATATCATTATATGTCAACAATAACGATTTTCAATTACATTTAACAGCTGCAAACATTACAGTAACATCTGCAACATATGATTCTGAAATTGTCAAAAGTTACTAATATAAATGCCACATACATAAATTTTGGCAATGTTCAGCAAAAAAGGAAAAAAAAGGGAAAAAAAAGCGGGAAAAGAATCTATATTCAATCCTAAATAGTAAAATATTATGAGGATTCTTGAACCAGAATTGAGATAAAGAGACCTTTATTAAAAGAGCATGTAATTGCAACCTCCAAAAATACCATAGTGAACTAGCTTAAGCATTGAAAGATTAAAATAATTTCTAAAAATGAACTAAACTTCATTTAACTGAACATAAACTCGGATTCGAGCACACTAATTTTTTTCACTTCAATAGCAATTTCGATCTCAATAAGACTAAAATCAAAAGAAAGCAGAGGAAGTTACCGTCTTCGCCCTCCTCTTCTTCCTCTTCCTCATCGCTATCCACCTGTGCTTCAAGATCAAAAAACTGAGAGCCAAAACGCGGAGCCCTGCTATGCTTTTTGCCGCCGCCAACGTAAACCTCATCGTCTTCGTCTTCCTCGTCGTCCTCCTCCGCCAAGTCATCGATGAAATCAGATCTGCGTCGCTTCTTACTTGAACCAGCTTGACCTCTCCCTACATCTTCATCCTCGTCGTAATCCTCGTCGTCCATCAACTGCTCCTCCTCGTCTTCGTACTCTTCGTCATCAACATCATCATCTTCCTCATCTCTTCGTCTGGCCATCGCAGTTACTCAATCAGTGCTCTGAGATTTCCTTTTGTTGATGACTTGAGAGTTCTGAAATGTTGAAGGAAGGGAGAAATGGAACCCTAGATACGAAGGGGTAAGCTTATTATTTTTTGTTCATTTCATAAAAAAATATAATTAATCAGACACGGTAGAACTTGTTATACTTTTATTTTTCGTTTTTTACAGATAAACGGGAAGGAGACAGGTTTTTTTACTTTGGCCCCGACAAGCGATGTATTATATATTTTAGTTAAGTCATTATACTTTTTAAAAAATTTAAAATTTATGTATATATTTTAAAATATTTGTAAAATATTAAATTAATTTTGTTATCCGTTTATACATTATTCATAAGTTGTAAAATTAATTTTGATTTTTTTAATTTTATTATTTATTTTTTATAAAAATGACTAATTTTATTAAATATATAGAATATTCAAATTACAATAAAGGTTACAACCACAATCGTAAATTAACATATAATAAAGATATTTTCCTAAACACAATAAAACTAGTCACTTAGGTTTATGTAAGGACCATAAGGAAAAGTTTAAAAAACTTAACCAAATAAACTCGAACAAAAGGTAAATACGAATAAATCTAACTGCATCTACAAACAAACCACAAAATGGATAGAGATATTTAAAGACCACCGAAAAATCGCAAATCAAAATCGAACGACGTAAAAATACTATCCACGAACGTAAATCGTATATCCAATTCAAGGGTCCAAATCAAGGAAAATCAACATGATAATAAATAAGTGTCATCTCGACCAATCGTGACGATTTCAAATTCAATCATAAAAAAATGATAAACAAAATAAACGGTCAAATGATAGAAAATATGTCATAAAGCCAGAGAAAAATTGTGCCATAAAGACAGAAAAAAGTGTCATAAATGTATAATTATTAAAAATTAAAAAAAACAAAGATACGCCATAATAAGCTGTAGACACTCATTTTCGTCTGAAGTTTTTTTAATATATAATAATATAGTATAATTTTTAAAAACATTTTCAAAAAACGTATAACATATAATTTTTAAAAAACGGTTATTGAAAACATATAATATATTTTTTAAAAAAATCGGTTTTTGAAAAATATATATATTATATAGTTTTGAAAACAGTTTTGAAAAACATATATTATATAGTTTTGGAAATGATTTTTGAATATATATATTATATAGTTTTGAAAACATTTTGGAAATATATATATAATAAATAGTTTTTGAAAACATGTTTTTGAAAATATATATAATAATTTTTGAAAAATAATTTTTGAAAACATATATATTATATAGTTTCGAAAATAATTTTTTAAAACATATATCATATATAGTTTTAAAAATTATTTTTTATTATTATATATTATATTAATTTATTATTTTAATAATCAATATCTTTCGTAGTTTTTTTGGTTTTTCAGGTCTAATAAATCCAAAGTCCAAAATGAGTCCAGCGAAGGTAAGGGTCCAAGTCAGGGTCTGCCTGACCCAGTAGGCCAAGATCGGGTAAAGCCCGAATACCCAGCAAGTCACTAAACCGGGCAAACAAGAGACCTGATGTATGTTAGGGTTTCATCTTCAAGAGCAGCACCGCCGGCCACAACAGAAATCAACCGAAACGTCCGGCCGAAGAACCTAGGACTGCATCATCCCGAGGTTTTTGGTCAACCCACAAACAACCACGAACATCGCGCAACCGTGGTAACAAATTCGTCATTTACGGGATCACAACGACTGGCCATGGGGTTATAAAAACCCCGGCCAAAAGCAGTAAAGAACCCACAACATAACCAAATAGAGCAACCAACACAAATCAATCAACAAGGAAAATCACAGAGCAAACACAATAACGAGATAAAACCACAAATACAAGCAACTAAACCACCAAGCAAAAGCAAAGCAAGAAACAACAACAAAAAATACGGATAAAGAGTGTAAAATAAAAACAGTAACCTTCGGTGAGAGTCGGAAGAGGAAGGGTCACTAGAAAAAGAAGAGGTTTTTTCGCCAAAAAAATAATAAAAAAAAACCATAACTTTTAGGCTAGATATGCTCCGATCTAGAGGTTATCGCGTTGTTTCGAGGTCATATTCGATATCGGGGGGTCAAGAGGAAGTTTGGGGGTAAGTTTGGTTTTTTTGGCCACCGGAGACGGTGGCCTAGCGACGGTTGGAGCGGTGGAGCTTCGTCGGAGTGGTGGCCGACCATCGAGCCTGGTTGAAGAATTGAGAGGTTTTTTTTAGGGGTTTATTTTTTTTTTGTTTGGTTTAAAAATGATATTTTTAAGGTTTTTTTGGCTATTTTTAGACGAGGAACATTTGTGCAAATAGGAGATAGTTAAATTATTTCTGTAATCTCTTAACTTTTGATGTGTAATTCATTTTGGTCACCTGTTATAAATTATCCTTTAAATTTTGAATTATTTCGATTTGATCCTCGATTATACTTCCTGTATTTTGCAATTTAATCTCCTAACCTTTTATTTTTCTCTTGCAGCTCATTTTTAGAATTAATTTGATCTATGAATTTTAATTCATTTCAAGTTGATCCTTTATTTAATTTTTCTTATTTGTATCTTGATTAAAATTTAATATTTTTTTATTTTGTTCTATTTTTATTTTCCCACTTTTTTTGTTTCATTTTGTTTTATTTTTATTTTCTCTTTTAATATTTTTAATATTTTATTATTTTTTCCTGAAATTTAATATTTTCTTCTTTTGTTTTATTTTAACATTTTTATATATAACATTTTTATTTTATTTTTTTAATATTTCCTTCTTGATTTATTTATTTATATTATTTTATTTGTTCCTTTTTATTTAATTTTTATTTGATATTTCTTTTATTTTACTATCTAACATCTTTTTGACTTTTTCAGTAGTAATTTCAATCGATCAAAGGTAAGTAATTTGAATTGAATTTTTAAATGTCGATTTAAATTTTAATTTCCGCAATTAAGACAACCGACAAATTAAAACGGTACCGAAAGGGCAGTTCAAGGGTGATAATCCTTCCTTGACTATAACCGACTCTCGAATCTAACATATTTCTGGTAAAGAGCAGATCAGGTAAGATGGTGTCCGATCAACCTAAATATTTTTTAAATGATCGGTGGTGGCTCTAACATGTTTTATTCAAGTCGAAGCCCAATTCCGGCCCCACCCGAAAGATGGTTGCTACAGCTTGGCGACTCTACTATGGACAGGTAATTAAGTCAGGTCATAATTAATTTTCGGTTGTCTTTTAAGGGACAAAACAAGTTTAAATTTTAATTTATTTATTCGATTCATATTGTTTATCTTTGATTATTTCTTTCAAATAAATAGTTGCACTAACGTTTTTTCAATGATTTCAGATTTTTAAAATTTCTCATCTCTGGCTTTACCCTAGCTCCGAACCCTTTTTAAGTGGGGGTGAAAGCGACGCCTTCAGAGAATTTATTCTCCGTATAGGCCTAGCAAGTAACCTTCGGGATTCATATACCTTATGTCTTCGTGTGAATTTATTCTCCACATAGACATAAGGGAATGTATCCTCTCGAGTTTAACTTAGTCCATATAAGCTTGTAATGGGCTTAGGACTAAGAGTCTGTCAAGCCCAAGGGGGCACCAACAAGGAGAACTCGGGTACCTTCTTTAGAACCTAAACCAAGAGACTATAGGGAATTAGAGCTCACCTCTAAACCTCATTTCAAAACCTAGGTTGTCTTGAATTAATTCATGCTTTACTTTCTGTTCAAAGCATGCGAATTGGACAAATATGCGGTTAGGATTTGCTTGAAATTAGCATGCAGGGTAGAAAGCATGTATGGGTAAGAATTAAAACATGTTGGTTAGATATCATGTGGGGTAGGACTTTTTATTTTCATTATTATTATCCTTATCTTACTAACTTTTTCCTTTCATTTTTGTTTTGTTTTATTTTTTTATCATTTATATCATTCAAAAGAGGTGTTGATCCACAAAAACGTGATTGTTAAACATAAATAGTTTGTATTAATGGACAAAGGGGTTTTAATACAAGAGGTGAAAAACGCATATGTCCGACTATGGTCAGAAAAGACTCAAATGGAAAAAGGGAGACAATCTGCAAGACAATTCAACCAAGAAGACAGTGCCCACAATCAAAGAATATGCTACTTTGTTGCATTGTGAAGGACTTAGAATGGACCAGTTTTACACCAAGCGCATCAAAAGTCAACTTTTCAAAAATGGGTTGGCAAAGGTTTGAGGGGCAAGACAAGAAAAAGGTTTCCAATGATGTTTTCGTTGGGAGCAGGCTCAGCAGAGAGTGAAAGCCAGAGATGCAATCATTCAAGACTTCTTGGAAAAGTAAAGAAAACGGCACATCACCTGCATGACTTGGTTAAAGAAGTCGGAGCGGTTCGGCAGGATATTAAATCGGTGACAGACGAAGTTAGAAAACTAGTTAACTTGTCAGAAGTTGTTCGGGGTCTAAAAGACTTAGTCAGAATGTACCCTTAAGGGGTTTTTTGTCTCTTAAGAAATAACACTTTTGTCTCAATAAAGATTATTTATAATAACAAAATTGTTTTTGGATCAATGCCTCGAAACATTTCATGTATCATGCATTCAGACATATTTTGCATTTTGTTTTTTCATTTCTTTATATTCCCATTAACTAACAGAAAAAATGTCTCATCAAAAAGGGAACAAACACTGGACATACCACTCCAAGCATTGGATACACCTCATCCTCATAACTCCCACTCAAAGAAGAAGAAGATGAAAGCCAAAATTACTCAACTCAAAGAGAACATGCTGAGGTTGCAAATGAAATTAGAAGAAAAAATAAGCCAGAATAATCAAAGTACTCTGGAAACGATCTCTAAGAGCCAAGAGTCTTTGGTCGATCAGATTGTTGCCAAGTTAGCTGGCTTACATCAAGCAAGTGTGCCTGGGACAGGTTCATCTGATGGGGTAGCTATGCCACCTACCCCACAAATGGCTATTCCACCTGGAATACAAAAGTGAATGCCTCATATGCTATAAAGGTATAGACTTTTGTATCTAACCCTGAGAATAATCCGGGTGATTACCATATACTGGATT